CAATGCCATCAGTATGGACAAGTATAAGGGTTACAATCAATGCTAAAATGAGATGTGGAATGGAAGGGGAGAATGAAGACTGTCTTGAACAGAGTAGTAAAGAACCAGGAGTACTGGAATGGAAGTTATGAAGGGGAAAATGTTGGCTTGCTGTCAAACAGATTTTCTGAACAATTCAAGCTTATTAAATGTGGAACATACTGATTCAGTAGGTGTGGTGACCTGAAGGTTCCAAAGAGATTTGTCTGTCTCTTCCTTGTAATATTTATTTTCATCAATTTTGTGTATATTGTTTCAACATGCAAAAAGGTTAAAGCTATAAAAAACACATTCCCTGACATCAAGTGGCTCACAATACATGTCAGGGATTTGAATATCAGCACACAAAGTTCCATACTAATATAAAAACAAAAGTAGGAGCCTAATGTGTATTACACATATTGTCTTACAGGTTTGACAGGAGAGATGAAAGGAGATGTTCAATGGACACAGAATGGTCGAGGAATGGTTTGAAAATTAGGAGGGACTTATTCAGTACTTAATGAAAATCTAATATTTCTTCAATTAGAAAAACTGAAAGAGTTCAATTAGGCAAGAGGTATGGTGAGAGCAACGGTATGGAGACATGAATATACATTGCATTGATGGTATATAGAAAGAATATACACTCTGGTTTGAAATTGGAGTTAGCTATAGAGATACAATTGGGAAGAAACATCAGAGCTTATGAGAACAAGTTTATGGAAGGACTTGCATAACAGGTTAAAGACTCTAAATGTCTATTTGGTTTTGACTATAATTTCAAAAAGAATTATTACCATTACGCAATTGATTGCTTTTGAAGATGAGACACAATAAAGCAGAAAGAGAGTGAGATGTGGACACAGGGGAACCACGACAGAATCACAACTCTGCTGTTTAACCCAAGTGATCTTGGACAAATCATTTAATGTGTTTTTGAATCAGCATCTTCCATAAAATGAGGAACTAGACTAGATGGCCCATAAGTCTTCAAGTCCTAAATCTGTCATCATAAATCATGAACATACAGTCGAGTGTGAGGACCACTGAGCCAAAACTGAAGATACCAGAAGTGCAGAAGGGATGGGTGAGATTGAAAAAGTAGCTAAAAATGTAGAAATATAAATGGATAAGTACGTAGAAAGTTTTGGGGGGGCACGGTCTAGCATTGACCTATCCATATTTTTTTATTTTTGATTAGATATTTCTTAACTATCCTGCATATGTATTTATACAAATATATATATATATATATAATATATATGCACACACAAACATATATATATATATATATACATATATACACACTATATGCATATGTGCATACATACATATACACATACATATATGTGTACACACATAATTAATCCAGGAAGAACAATTAAGGATTCTTGATGGATATTTTCTATGGTGGATGCTTATTGAAGTACAGATTATAAAAGATTCTGTGAATTTGTAGCCATCCATATATTCAGAACATACTCTATCTCACTCTTTCTTTGACTTTTTTCTTACTCCATGATTTTCTCTTAACTCAAAAATATAGGATTTGAAAGGTAGTACTAACCTTGAACCTGATGCTATTATTATCTCCATAATAATTATAAGAATATTAATTTTCTAATGCCTACTCTGTTCTTATCCTCTGTTCCTCAATTTCATCTGTTTCATTTCTCATGATCCATTTCTAATTCTCTCCAACAGGAATCATGGTGAGCACTGACAAGAATCAGAGTAGTGCAGCAGTCATGATCATCCTCTTAGGATTCTCTGATTATCCAGAGCTCCAGGTGCCCCTCTTTCTATTGTTCCTCACCATCTATGCAATCACTGTGATGGGGAATGTGGGCATGATTGTGATCATCAAGATCAACCCCAAACTCCACACCCCCATGTACTTTTTCCTCAGCCACTTGTCTCTTGTGGATTTCTGTTACTCCACTATAGTTATACCAAAATTACTAGAAAACTTAATTGCAAAAGACAGAAGCATCTCCATCAAAGGCTGTATCACACAGTTTTCTATTGGCATGACCTGTGTGATGACAGAGATGGTCATGTTGGCAGTGATGGCCTATGACCGCTTTGTCGCTATATGTTATCCTTTGCTGTATACAGTTTCCATGTCCCCAAAACTATGTGTCCTGCTGGTGACTGTGGCATATTCATGGGGCATAATTTCTTCTATTATATTTACTTACTCACTTCTTGCATTATCATTTTGTGAGACCAAAATCATTAATAACTTTTTATGTGAATATTCTGTCTTCCTATCTGCTTCTTGCTCTGACAAACACTTCAGTGAGTTAATACTTTTTATCTTTTCAAATCTCAATTCATTTTGCACCTTCATCATTATCCTTACATCCTATCTTTTTATTTTTGTCACAATCCTCAAAATGAATTCAGCCAATGGGAGATATAAAGCTTTCTCCACTTGTGCCTCCCACTTGACAGCTGTTACCATCTTCTATGGCACCATCCTATTCCTCTATTGCATTCCCAATTCCAAAACCTCGTGGCTTGTAATCAAAGTGGGATCTGTTTTTTATACTGTGGTTATTCCTATGCTAAATCCCTTGATATACAGTCTAAGGAACAATGAAGTGAAGGAAGCCTTGAGGAAATTGATGCATCTTAAAATCATTTCTCAGTAATATCTTTTATATGGATTCTATGACTACTAGCTAAACTATTGTGTTGGAACTTATGGTGATATTTAATTAATTCTGTGAGTCCTATTCAGTTACTCCCTTCTGTGGTGGTCACACATTCAGTTTCTACAGTCATCTGAAAAGCAGTCAGGAAAATCCTTTGGTAAATGAAGAAAGAATGTTTGAAATGAGAAGAAAAATTGCTGCCAGAAAATCATTACAACGTATTCCATGATGCAGTATCAACCTGAGAACCTTTCATTAAAGTGACTTTACAATTTATTGTAAAAATAAATATACTGATTCTACATGTTGATTGCCTGTGTTTATTTTTTTTTAATCCTCAAATGTCCACTGCTTCACAGAATAGAGAGAAACAAAAATCTAAGGTGTCGGCTGATGATGATGATGTCACCATCAGTTGGTTTTTGAATATCTGCAAGAAACAAATACCATGATGAGTGGCCATAGTTAGTGTTTTTAAAGAATAATAGTTACTGACACCAAGAGTAACTCAGTGGGGTAATAGAATTCCTATAAAACCATGCTCAGTCCTACAAAGGCCTAGTAGAATTCTTGTAACTTGCCAAAAGCTTAATAAGTGTTGTTCGATTGATGCATTTGTAGTGTGAAAACAAAGATTCCTAGATCTCCCCTCTTTCAACATGAGCAACTTTATCTTAGAAATTGACTTCCAATATAATTTAAATTTCAATTTAATTAATTAAATACAACATTTCCATAACATAGGATAATAAAAAGATGATTTCACATGAAACTGAAAAGCTGCCATGTACAACTTTCAATTCCTTTTAAATATATACTGAGGTTATCATGTAAATTTCTTTTTTTTCCCTCTGCCTCCCCACACTGGAAATGCTATCATTACATACAAATATGTGTATGTAGATATGTATATATGTGTGAGTAAAACAATTCTATACATAATTCTATTCATCAGTTCTTTCTCTGGATATAGAGAGTGTCTTCCTTCACATGTCCTTTATAGTTAATTTTGGTACTTATAATAATCAAAATGATTCAGTCCAATAAAGTTGTTCTTAAAACTATATTGCTACTACTTATACATCATTCTCTTGGTTCTGTTCTTTTCACATTCATTATTTCTCATAAGTCTATCCATGGCAGAACTGAAAACTTGTTAACCTCAGTTTCTCCTCCAGAGTCAATAACGTGTAGTGGTTGACCTTGGCTCATCTTGGGAAGGACATAAATAAGTTGGAGAGAGTGCTTAGGAGGGTTATCTACATGAAGAAGAGCTCCTAATTCTTGTCAAATGAGGATTTATGAATTTGGTATTAACATGACAGAGAAAAGATTTAATGTCTTTGATAACTGTCTTTATGTATCAGAAAGGCCAACAAGTCAGCCAATCAATCAACGGGGCAATTATTATTTATCCATTAGACAACATAAATGCTAGATTTTCACAATATACATGCATTAAAAGTTACTAGGTAACTAGCATGGCACAATAGGTAGAGTTCTGGCTAAATGTGTGTGTGTGTGTCTACGTGCGTGTACACACACACATATGCATATATATGTATATATTATATGTATTATATATACATATATACATGCATGCATATATACATATACACACATATACATTTTTACATATATATACACATATGCTCACTATGTGCATATAAATCCATATGTCTATACATCTGCAGATGCTTATACACACTTGTATATATTCATAAATATACATATATAAATATACTTATGTATTCACACATACATATTTTATATATACATAATTATTTACGCGCTTTCTTCTAGATGAACATGAGCTCTATGAGAGCACTGACTATATTTTTGTCTTAACTTGTATTCTCAGTGCTTAGCATGGTATTTGACACATTCAATATTTGTGGATGGACAATAACTGAATCACTGAATCATTTTATTTCCTTTAATTCACTTTTTCTAGTTTAAATGTTTTATTGATTATTTATCTTTCTTTGGATATCTAGTACTACCTACTGTTTGTACAATATATTGAAGTATTTAAAAGTAATGGAATGTTACATTCACTCTCTTTTATGAAAATGATATATAGATAACTATGTATTTCAGATTTTTTTTTGTAGGCGATTGGGGTTAAGTGACTTGACCAGGGTCACACAGCTAGTAAGTGTTAAGTGTTTGGTCGGAGGCCGGATTTGAATTCAGGTCCTCCTGACTTCAGGGCTGGTGCTCTATGGACTGCACCACCTAGCTGCCTCTATATTTCAGATTATTAACAAAGAATGAATTTCAATTTTGGGGAAAAAATATAAATTCTGTGTAGTCCAGAGTACTTTTACTTCTGATTGAATACGAAAGGAGAAGAATAATCAGGAGTTAATTGTTAAAAGTCACTGCAGTCCCCATATCCAATCAAAAGTGTGGCTCATGATGAAATACTGAAGATTCTCCACCTTATTTATCTTTGTTTTTTAACCTGGAAGAGAAGGAAAAGGACTTTAGTGGGGGAAAAAAAACACCTCATGTCTGATGTCTGATGTCATTAAACAACTCTGTGAATGTAGGTAAATCGTAATCTATTTGAATCTCTAATTCCCTCATACGGAAAACTGGGAATGATGTGTACTGTCTTTTTCTTACAGGGTTATTTTGCATAAAGTTTACTGTAAAACTTAAAACCAAGAAATGGGGATTTATCTTATTATCATGACACTACTAGACGGCATGCTTCCTGTGTAAAGCGACTGAAGCCTTATTAAAACTTCGTACTTCTTCTCAATGCCTAGTGCAATATCTGCTTAACGAATGTGGGCTTAAGGAATTAAAGTCTGACCACTTAATTTTGTTGAATTCTCTGTTGTCTTGATTGTCAAAGTGGACATCTTTACCCCCTAGCAGTGAACGAGGGTATGAGACTAACTCTGCAACATATTTGGATGATTTAGGGCTAATCTAAGCTCCTTCAAAAATTGTTACTAGGGAAGTGATGTACAAACTTTCAGTTTCTCTTCAGTGGAAGTTATCATTATCAGTAGTATTATTGCTATATGAGTTATTTTTTGATTTGTGTTTCACTGGCTCTGAAATCCACTATTTTGATTTCATTCATACTTCAAACGTGTAAACAGACGTATACATATACATTTATATATGATAAATTGGAGATAATTAAAAGAGAGAAAGTACTAAAAATAAGAAGGGGATCAGGAAAAGCTTTTGCAGTAGCTAGGGTTTTAATTGGGACATAAAGTAAACCAGGGAAGCAATAGGCAATAAGGAAGGAAGAAATTCTTTATCTTAAACTCAGCTTTTTACCCTGTTTGAGATTCCTGTGTACAGGATTTTTATTCTGGACACCAGCATCCAATCTCATTGTGAGTCACTTCTTTAGTTAGGTGACCATTCACAATATCTTTTTTTTTTAATTTGAATTGTCTCCTGTTGCTTTATCTTGGAGACTTCTTCATTAATATTAGTAAAAGACATTATAGCTAGTAGCAAATAATAAGAATGGAAAATAAACTTCTGATACTAACTATCCCCTATGTTTTCAAGGAAATACTATTCTCTAAAAGCAGACTTTCTTCTGATTACTTATTTGGGTGGGTCCTGGTCGGGTGAGGTCATTAGTCTCTGGCATCTCTTTCACATTTATTTTTCTTTTGAGATAGAAGTAAAGTTGATAGCATCCATCTCAGAATCAGGTTACTGATATTTTAGGAAGATGTGTCTCTCTGAGTTTTGCTGCAAAATGGGGGGACATTTATTGGTTTGCTGCAGTCAGTTCAAAAATGATCTGTGTTTTCATTTTCATAGACTATACAAGTGCATTATTGGCTTAATAATGAGTCTGATCAAATTTGGCAGAAGGAGGTATTTTCTACTAAAGACTGTTGTTTGCCATCACGTCCAAGCTCAACATTCATTACTTCATTGATCTAGGACATGGCCATCTACAATCTGGTGATTACAGTAGATGTGCCTAGAAAACCAATTCTATTTCCTTTTCAGAAACAAGAACTGTTACCAGCACATTTCTGTGAATCCCTTGATCTGAAAAGATCTGCCAGGCAAACAAGGTAGGTGGTACTCTCAAATCATCATTTTCACTATGACCATTACACATTTAGTGGATATATATTACACAGAGAGCACTGTGCTGAGCATTAAAAATGCTAAGAAATATCAGCCTCTGAATTCAAGGACTCATGCCCCATGCAGGTAGAGAGGACATATGCATGCCAAAAAATGTATATAGATGCCAGAAACCACATGCTAAATGTCTACAGATTCTTGTACATAATCTGTGTAGTTGGTTTGTAGAGAAAGTAAAGATTTTAATGAAAGCTACTCAGAGAACACTTGTGAAAGAGTCAAACTGCAAGAGACCATGAAGGATATGGGGGATGAAGAGTAAAGGCATTTCAGGCTTAGGCAATTTTGTGAGTAAAAGTAGGAAGGAGGAATTCATGCTGTATTTCATGGAATTATGATTAGTGTACTTTAGCTAAAAAGTAGCTTCAATTAGGGAAACTTTATGGAGGTAAGGTTGTGGAAATAGGTATTGTTCAGATTAAAACAAGATTTGAATACCATAGAATTGAGTTGAATATTGGCCTTAGCTTTCCAGACAGTCAGGTACAGGGACTGAATGAGATAATACCAAAGAATTTTCTTCCATCAAACATTAGAGGAAAGCATCAGGAGTTCAGATACTCCACATGATTTTTTTCCATCTCTGCTCAAATTATTCTGGAGTCAGAAGAAGCCCTGGGTCCTTTATTTCCCCCCCCATAACTATATAATTTGTACTAAATCTAGCCCTGTATAAGTCAACATTGAAAAGTAAGAACAAAACTGGTAGACAACAGGTTTCTTCTAGCCAGTGATAATCTCATTTTTTTTACTGCCTGGACATCGTCTTTGTCTAACACCATAGATATTTAAAGGTTTTTGACTATTCAAATTATATTAAAAATCATAAATTCCTTATTGCAATATGAGATACAAGGAACTGTTGAGAAAGATTCAAATATGAGATAACATTGGTGGTTAATTGATTAATATATCTGGAATGTGATTTCCTAAATCCTTTTTTTAAACTTCCTTAATTATTTGTACTTATAGAGTAGATGATTAATGAATTCTTAGATTCATGTGCATTTGGGGAATATATCCAAAATTAACACGCATGTATTTTAACAGGTCAGAGGAGGATATTTTCTTCATTCTGTATAGTTTGGGACAACATTGAAAATTGATGAAAGTCTGAAATACAAGTTTTGGAGTATACATGAATTGTTTCCTGTGGGCCCCACACCATGCTAGGAAATCACATAATTCATTAAGAGGAAGAAAAACAAACATACACACATGCATACACACACACACACACACACACACACACACACACACGTAAATTTGGAGGAGGAAGAGAAACGAAAGTCTAAATGGGAACATAAGCTAAATGATGGGATAGATTTATGCAGCTAAAAGATTTTAGATAGAATATCTAGAAGGCAGGTAGGGGAAAATTGAAAAAGAATAAAGACTAGAATAGAATATTTTCTTTTATTCCTGTTTGGAAACAGATGCTAGCAAAAACAAAAAAACAAAAACAAAAACAAAAAACCACCTCATTTCTTTGGATTTGCTTCATTCAGAATTTTCAAGACTTGGACAGTGCTCCCATTTTCATCATTTCCTGTGTTACTTGTCTACCGTGCTCATAACCTTAATAAATCCTGTAACTAACCCCTCATTCAATGCACCACTTAGCATTCAACTATAAGATCTCTTTTAGTCTCTTATCTCCTGTCCTTTCTTCTCCTCTCCTTTCTTATCCTCTAAAGTATGAGTTCATCTTATTTTCTCTTTTCCTCATCCATCCTTTATGAATTTTCACAAAATCTTATTTGATTTGAATATTCAATAAATACTAATTTCACAAGTGTGTTGTTGTTATTATTATTATTATTATTTTGTCTAGATCTCCAACTTCTTTGCTATAAATAGGTTTCTTTGTGAAATCAACTCTCCTAAAGCAGATTGGCACCTGATTTGTAACTTGCAGTATTAATAAGTTTCCTAGGCCACAAAACTGTAAGTGGTAATTCAGGGTTGCAAGTTAGTATGTACATCCATCTATACAAATAAACATGTTCTGAAATATTCTGAATAAAAATGTTCTGAAATATTATTGTTGTAGTAGTTACATATACTCACATATGAACTGGTGGATGTTTCTGATGATGATTGCAAAGCATTAAACAAAACCAAATTATCTTCAATATGATCATTTTGTTCAGGAAAGTATGACAATTAAAAAGTTTGAGAGATCTAGTTTCTAAGTAATTTATTTTTTTTTAATAAGGTCAGCAGGTTCCTGATAGTATCATTTTTTGGACGTCTCTCTTAAATCAAAGACCCTTAATGGCAGTGGAGTTACAGTTTACATGCCCTTCAAAGAGGAGGTGTACCCAAGGGTTGGAAATCAGCTTGGATGGGTTAACACAATGAGAGGTGGGATATCTTCAGGTACATGACTTAAGTTACTCAAATCTTGGTCAAAGCAATATCAATTTCCATATTATCAGTCTTGATAATAGATAGAGTCAACATTTTCCACATACCTGTCTGAGCAAACACAATGAGCAGGAATACACCCATTAGTATACACTTAGAGGTTCTTTTACTGTTTGCTTAGTTTTTGGCCTGAGTAAATCTCCAAGAGCAATTTCCCACACTGATTGATTTCTCAAGGAGTAAGTCAAAAAGGGGGAAAACCTTGTTCTTAATACAATAATTAGTTAATAAATATAAAGGAGAAATATTTATTTCTCATACAAGGAAGATTTCCCAAACAGTAATCCTTGTAGAAAATTCTTTTTGAGTAAGAGTCCATTACGCCACTGGTACGTCTTGGTTGAGGGAGAAAAAATATTATAATAAAATGCTACTTTGAATGTAATACTCCTTTTAAATGGATTTGCATTCTGTTAATCTATTTATATTCACTTCAAAAATGATAATGTATATGTGTGAAATTATATACATTCCATCTCAAGTTATATGTCTGCTTAATTGTTAGGGTTTGCTAAACAAAGATCAAAATGATAATGCGTAGTGTCTATTTGAATTTCTATGCAAAAAAACAAACTCTGCTTCTGCCCCAGCTTCAACATTTCAGGCTCTGAGAATCTTGCCTTGCTCTCTGGTTTGCTGAAGGTCGTGAAAAAGAGGGTAGGTGAATGCCGCACAAATAAATTCTGCATTGCCATTTTTTTCTGAATTAAAGTATCAAATCTCTCTTACTTTTATATTAGGATTATCTGCATATTTCCTAGATTTTCAAATTCTGAAGAGCAGGGTAAAAGCCCTTGTCTGAAAAAGGAACCTGGTGAAATTTGTAGGCTGTCCTTCTCAAATGAACAGCTACTGATGCTAGATGGTTTTTGTTGCATCCCACATTTTGTG